GTAAGAAAAACTGAAAGGCTGTCCCTGCTCTATCTACTGCTAATCTTACCACAGTACTGAATATAGAAAATATAATTTATATATTTAATTGGATTTAACATTAATACATGGCTTCTAACATTGAGTTTTCCCAATTCCATACACTCCACTAAGAACCTCAATGGCAAGGTGACTATTTCAATCACACTTACCTTCAGTCCATCTTCAGGAAAATCTCTTAGCACCCAGACAGAATAGGAAAATACCAAGTCCAAGTTTTCTGTGCCTGGAATACAAAAAGCAGCAGTGCTCAATACTAAAATCCTAAATATCTATCTACTCTCAATACAAGCAGGCGCTTTCGCAGCCAGCAAAGCTTGATTTACAAGAAGAATCCAGTTTTCCCCCCCCTCCCAATTCAAGTCAACAAAATCACACATTCCAGGCTAAAGCCACGATTTCATTACTTTGCAAACATGATTTCAAACAAAAAGAAGAATTAACTCAAATACTAAGTGTCACCAAACATAAACAATTCAGACCAAAACCAAGCTCAGTTATCTTAATCATACTCCAAAAGTCTTCCCTTACAATTTGTTTTTGTTAAGGCAGAAAAAGCACTGTACTTTTCGCTTCTGTAATTTCCTTCAGCCCATTTCCAGCCTGCCATTCCAATGGCTTCTATAGCAAACGACCAAATACTTCGTAACAAGTAGTAAAGCATCTTAGTACTGAAGTAACTGGCATAGAAACTACATGACAGGTAATAATTTTTCACCTTGTAAGAAAATTTAAGACCTGTCTCCTTAAAATAATACTTGTATTTGGACAATTTGGTTCACAAGGTTTATAAAACTTGTTAGGAAAACATGACTTCACCCTCACCCTCCTGGTTAGAAACAATGAGGCATTCACTGCCCAAACTATGCAACAACACAGCTATACAAGAAACAAACCTACACCAACCCCATAAAAAGGCAGCCATCATTTGCTTTTCTTCATTTCCCAATACCATCAGGAGTAAGTTACTTTTTAAATACTTAAAACAAGCAGCATCTTCATAGGAACAGTATTTTAAAAATCAGAAGATGAGTGCTATGAAGTAAAACAATTACAACAGCCCCCTAGAAGAGCCAATTTCAAAGTTTCAAATACAAAACAGCGACTTGGCCAATGGCACTAAGGTTGTGGGTCTCAATGTCATTGAACTTCAATTAACTTTCTGAATTAACAGGGCATTGTATGGTAATGGGTTTGCTAGCCTCATGGGGAAAATTTAAATAAAAGAGAGGACAAGTATGGGAGTAAGTTCTCATGCAGAACAACAGACAGAGAAGAGAAAGTCTAACTCCTTATAAATAAATGTGAGATTAATTAGAATAGCTCCTTTCCAAAGCACTGATCAAGTTGCCTTTTCTGAAATCACAACCAAATCAAACATGCAGTTACAACCTACTCAAAATGGCAGAAAAGAAACTCATCAAGTAACTGCCAAAGCTTATAAAGATTAGAATACTGAAAGGCCAACATCACATCACAAAACAAAACCACTGGCTCCCTCAGCACGTGACACTCAGCTGCACGGGGATTTACAGTGAAGGTCACAGACAAGGATGTTTTGTGCTTCTAGAATTAAAGCAGACTCTGAATTTCTAAACTTTGTCTGCAACAAATCCCTAATTTAAATATGATCTATAATAGGAAGAAGTTCTGCATAATGCTATTTTAACAGATAAAGAATGGTTTAATACAGAAAACTATCTACCACTCAATGAAATAAATCATTCTCCCGGGTTTACTTCTGCACAGATAAAGTATATTTTTGATGGGTATGGCCAATCACAGAATTAACAATTAATATTTACTTTGATGCAATGAACAGTAAGTACTTACTCTGTAGACCCATGGCAAGTATCAAATCCCAATCAGTAATACATACTTGATGACCGAAAAGACCACAGCTACAAGCATCGAGGAAATTTTCTATAATTATCTGAGAACTATTTAAGAACATTTCATTAAATGCCCAAAAACCTATAGACAAGAGTTGACTAAAGAAGAGCTTCAACTTCACTCAGAATGTAAGTGAAAGCAACTTAAGTGAAAGCAACTAAAAATATGCCCTGCATAATTAAAATTTTTAAAAAATATTAACATTTGTCAATTATTACTTAGATTAGAAGCTTATAACTACAGAAGCCTCACCAAAGCAGAGGTAGAGGGAAAAAAATAAAAATCTGTAGAAACCTCATAGTCTGAAATGCTTTTATCATTTAAGGGGACTCCCAGAAATGACACATATAAATTAATCAAGGCTGAATGGGCAGTGCAGTTAAAAAACACCACACACAGTGTTACATTTCTGCTATTTACTTTGGGGGAAAATCTCCAAGTGACAGGAGTGTAAAACATTCCATTTATTTGTTAACTTTCTAGGTGGTTTCCACTCTATTTCATTACTCTGAAGTGAATAGACTCAAGTTTTCTGTATCAGTTTTAAAGAGCTAAGCAAGAAGCATACAGGAAATTATTTTCAGGAGGTCCTGAAACACCAGAGAAGCTCCAGAAGTCAAAAAGAAATTTAGCAAGCTGCCAAGATTTTAGAAAGTATTCCAGACAAATTGGATAATTTTGTCTTAAATATCATCACTCTTAGAAGTCTTTTTTGTAAAGTTGTATGCTGAATATAACATACCTACACTTCTGTAAGATGAGTGATGTTACCAAATGACGCCAATGAATAAAAAGTGTACGAGACACATGGCACGAAAGGGAAAGGTCTCAATATCATTGTAAGAAATGTATTATCATTGAATAAACATGCTGCTAAGAGAAGTCAGCAGTTCTTAAAAGAAGTAATTATAGGAAAAAAATAAATAAATAATATTTTAAAAAAATCAAACCATATAAGACTGAGAGATAAGCAAAGCTATTTCCCTCAAACTACTCACTCCCAAACTAGTAGTGCGATATAAAGAGTTGTGCATTTAGAAATAAGTAATACTATTGGATAGGAGGGGACTATTCTCAAAAGTAGCAAAAACAAAAAGGGACTTGGGAGTTCATAATGAATAGTCAACCAAGCAAGTTCCTACCATGATGCTGCGACCAGCAGCTACAGCTGTTAGGTCACAATTTCCATCTACCTAAACACAGAAAACAAAAATTTCATATAGGATTCTTCATCTCAGGAAAACACTAGAAGACACAGCAACCAGAAGTTAGACTTCAGCTGGAAAGCCTAATCCAGAAGTTACTTTCCTTTTGTCAGTGATAGTAAATCATCAATGGAAGAACATTCAAAATGCTACGGCACATTTTCTACCAATGGGAATTTTTATCAGAAATAAGGAATGTTTTCCAATATGATACTCAAGTTTCAACAAGATGCTCCTGAACTAATACTTTAAATCTGCAGTATGCAAGAAACCAGACAAGATGACAAGGACGCCCTTTAGCTTGATAGTCTCTAGGAAGATGATGAAGTGTAGAATAACCACTACTAAGAGCCCAACAAGAGTTAACACCTTCACAAAAACAATGCTCTGCTTCACACTCACCTAAATGCTGCAGATATTGCACTGTCCTCTCGTGGCCCTTCAAAGGCGAGTTAGCTTTCTTTGACTGATCCACCAGTACCTGTAATGCTATCAGAACAATAGAAAGGTTCATTCCTTTGTATCCACAAGTATAATTCCAACTTGAACCACAAAATGTGTATTTTTCCTGTTCTGCTACCAGAGACAAAACAATTTTTTTTTTTTTTAAACACACAGACCAAATGGGTAACAGGAACAAAGACCAATTTAATTGCAAGACGGACCCAGAAACAAAGTCTCTTCAGAATATTGATTGCTCACTAAAGATAAGTTAAAACTCGATAATAGAAACACATGCTCCTATGCCTTCTCCTCTCCCCACCCCAACCCTACATACCTACCTTTCTCATGCAGACCCTTCTTCTCATACAGTATTATCAGCTCACTATATTTGTGTGCCTTCTTTAGTACATGCTCACTCTCCTCAATATGGCAGTGATTATTCTCCAGGCGTAGCAATGGTGCCACCAGTGCTACATTTGTCTGCAAGCAAAAAAAGAGCACTTAAACATACTTCTAATGTGCACCTCCTAAACTTGTGGTACAAAACATGACCTGGAAGAGAAAAGGGAAAAAAAAAAACAAAACACAAACACACACAAAACTGAAGTCTTATAGCATAAGAACTGACAGTTTAACATCTTAGAGCAAGGCCCATCTTCATTTCCATAATTTGTTGGGACAGAAAGAAAACTATACCAGAGCTATTCCCCTTCAAGAATAGAGGTCAGCTTTGAAAAAACTTGTTGACAGCAAAGATAGTACTCTTCTGCATTCAACAGTACAAAACAATACAAGAAGCATTCGTTAGAACTTCAAAATGCACAGGCAAGGCCACGTTCTTTTGATAGAGGCAGAGACCAGAAACAGACATATCTGGTTTATTCCACAAAACTACTTCCTGACCAGTGAGCAAACTAGCTAACACCAAAGTCTCACTGATCATTTAGACCAAAGACAGAGGGTTGTGTTAGAATTTCTGAAGTAGCTCCTTATCCTCCTTCTTAAACATTTCGGCCTGAAATTCCACCAGAGCTTGCAGGGTAAAGGAAAGGTCTCTAGGTCAGGCGGAAACTCACATGGAGGTAACACTTTAACAGGGTGGTATCAATGATTTGTAGCAGCTTCTTTTTGGATTTGATCGTGGGTGTTCCTTCCATGAGAGGTGAGGTACTGGACTGATGATCAGAATCATTTAGCTTCTTCACCAGCTGACTTCTTTTCTGCAGGACATCAAATGAAAATTTAACAAGAAAAGGCCATGGATTTCTCCATCCCACCTCAGCAAACATAATCCACCAAGTAAAAAGACTAAATTAAGCCAACTTAATAACTTGGTTTAATCAATTGTTTCCTAAATACTTTTTATTGTTACTAACTATTCAACACATCACCTTTTCAACCCCATTCAGGTGTATACATATGTTTTGCAAATTTATAGTTTTGTAAATGTTCAGGGTCTCGAGAAAATACACAGAAGGAAACTCTTAACATGGAGAGACATTTTAGAGAAGTCAGGAGACATTTAAAACATTTGGAAAACAATCTAGGTTTTGAACTACTAGGCACAAAAACTATCCTACTTCAGACACAAGATTCCTTTTAGTCTAGTAAGAATGGCAACAAAATAGTTCACATTCCAGTTACAACAAAATAAAGAGGACAGGAAGTTACAGTCCCACTACCTCCTGTTAAACCTTTTAATGCATGCTTTTGACCTGTCTCCTGGATAGAATGCCCTCTACAACAGTCAAACAAAAACAAAAGATCAAGAGCTCAAGTCCTCTTCAGAAGGCTACTAGAAATAAAATACTGGACTCATACTCCAGTCTGGTCCGTAAGTAAATCTTGTCCAGCCCTCACAAAAAGTCACACGTGATGTCTCCCACACACGTGCGGGGCACCTCACAACTTCCAGTTCCCCTGCTTTCTCAGGAGCTGCTGCCATAGTTTCCGTCCATGAAGACAGCCCATTAAGGCTAGCATGACAGAGCTGGAGTAGGCATACTGTTTCCTGCACATCAAAGTTAGCCAACAAACTATGCTAAAACCAAATAACCCCGCTCTAAAAACAGATATAGGAGCACTCACTTGAGTTAGGTAGTCTATCAGAGCTAAATGTGCCTTCTCCAGTTCTGCCCCAGAGAGCCCTGGCAGGGGGTTGGGATACTGTAGCTGTTTCCTGTAATCTGTGGGCAGGAGGTCAGGATACAGACCCATCACATGAGTGGGATCTAAGCAAAAAATAACTAGTATTAGTAACCATTCATAACATTATTTTTGCAAACTCTTAAATGTACGTAACCTTTGAGCGAGCTTAGCTTTCCAACAGAGCTATTTGTAGACAACTTGTACATCCACAAGGTTTCAGACAACAGAATTTGCTTATTACAGAAAAGAAGCTAAAACAAGGCAAAATAAGCAAGAGAAAGACTGTTTCAAAGTCCAAGCACAACAAGTTCCAACCTGTGTGCTTGGCACACCTGGAGTGTGACCTGGAGTCATTACTACAATCCTTTTACTGCTCTTCTTGCAGAATCCCAGCATTAACAACTCCAATAGTAGGACAGAATTTCTAGGAACAAGCAAGGTTTTAAGAGATGATTTACCATGCTTTTGAAACAAGAACTGAATAGCACCATCCGTAACTAATGACTACCTGTTTTCATGAAGTTTAAGCAAATTCAAAATTACTCCTCTACCTCAAGTTCGAAGTATTTTGAGTTCTCAGTCCATTTTTTTTAATTGTATTTTTCCAAAGTAAGCATGATGTTAAGTGTCATCAAAACAAATAAAAGTTTTAGGTTTAAATGCAAAAGGAATGTGCTGTCACCAATAAAAGAATCTCAGTCTTAAGCATTATTCTATGGTACAGTCCAGCCTTCCAGTGTTCTTCCAATAGTATCAGAGACTATTTTGACTTTCAAAGCCACAGAAGTTTCCTGGCTTAAGCAGCTTGGCCCATTAAACAGGAAACAGGCTTAAGCGTCTTCAGTTCAGTCCATGTCCATGTAGATTTAGCAAATCTACAGATGTTTCTTATTTTTCATTCCAAGCTACAGGTAGGCTTTTGGCAGCTGTTGAAAACCTCAGCTTGAAGGGTCTGTGTGCGCACTATGCACGCTGTAAAATAGCCTACAATACAAATGTTCTGCACAAAGGGCAAATTCATTATTTGATTAACTTCAGTCAGTGAGTTAAGTACTATAACCAGTTTTACAAAAAAGCTAAATAGCTACCTAGGCTATTTGCCATTCACAGGGGACTGGTCTGCACAAGACAGCGCTGTTTTAAAATAAAAACAAAACAGAAAAACAAACAAAAAATCCTACACAACAGTCTGTGAGCTTCATTTCATTCCTCATAACCTAGGTATCTCAATGCCAATCCAAGCATTTACCTGTACCAAGCTTGGCAAAAACTTGCATGGATTCATCAAAGCGCTTCTGGCAGAATAGGTTGAAGGCAAAGAGGTTCTTTATGTGATGAATTTGCTGTCGCTTCTCACTATCTGAATCATCTTTCATTTCCTACACACACACAAATTAACAAACATTAAAAACTCCTGGGCCTCATAAGCAAGAAGGAAACACTCTACAGAAATAACAGGAGCATTATCCTTTGGAGATAGTACGAAGAAAAAAAGATAATCTTCCAAAGTGAAGATCTCTGATGACAATTCTCAGATGCTATGCTTATTGCATCACTGAGATAACCTGGAAGGTTTGAAAACTATCTCTGATTATCTATATACTCGCTTTATTAACAGAAACTATCTTTTCACTCATTTGCCTTTTCAAAATTTTTTTTTCAAGTTAGCAATACAAAATGCAATTAATTCATTTTAATGTAGTTCCAGGGAAGTTTCCAGAAACCAGAAAATCCTAAAACTGTAAGAACAATAAAATTAAACATACTGCTTCAGTATCTCTAAGAAATTATTATGTTTCAGAAGTAAAACAGAAAATCCTGGTCATTTGACAAAACAAAACACAACACAAAACTCCAAGTAAAACTGTTCACAAGCAGTCCAAAGACTTTGCAGTCCAACTGACTTGAAAGTCTAAAAGAAAGTAACCAATTAAACAGGTAAAAGAGATAATCTTTCACACGAGACAATATCTCAAAATGTAAACCGTGATAGATCAATATGGAGAAATGGCAGCACAAAACTAAAACTGAAGTACAAAAAGGCCAGAGTTTACCAATTTGTGCAAAGTAGACAGTAGGGAGGTTAAACTCTCCAGACTAGCTACAGTCAAGCAGAAGGTAAACATCCTTTCGTGTACTTTTGCAAAAGTGCATCCGCTGCAAACCTAAAGGTTTTTGAGTACTTACTGCCAACTGCAAAGCCAACTCAAACTGCTTGTCCTGCAGAAGCTGCTGGATCTGTGTGGCTATGGACACCGGAATGAGCCGCCAAACAAAGTGATTACTTGCCACATATATAATATTTGTGCTGTAAACAAGGCAAAAAGGTCAGTTACTAAGTTTCAGCACTAAGAAAGGAGCAATATCCTACCTGAAAAAAAATAACCCTGGTTAATACACAAATGGATCAAATACAAGGGCAACTTAAGCAATTTTGCAAATCAGAAAGGAGAAGAACGTATCTCCAGTGATCAAAAATTCCCAAAGACAACTCTATCATCTACTCCTCAAGGCATGGCCTCCACTCATCTGTTCATAAAAAAACAGGCTGCTTCAATCCTACTTCTTAAGCCAAGGGAGTTACATAAGCTCTTTCTCTCCCAGTTTTTCAGAGTGCTACCATACACCCAGACAGCCCAACAAAAGTAATAATCAGTTATACTCAATACCCTCCAGAGGTGATGAAGCGTGGTCTCTGCAGCTCGATACTCTGTACCAGGAGACGGGGTTCAAAAGTGCGGATCTCCACATACCTTGGCAGAACAGCAATGATGTAGGGAGGCTGGTGTTCTGTTAGTGAAAAACATACGCTGATTGTTCTCAAGTATTCCTTCAAACAAGCCATGACTTAACATAAGGCTTCTCTTCATTTCCCACCCCCCCCCTTGAAATGTGTCCCTTTTTTGCTTATTAAAAACAAAACTCAATGCCCAACACTGACAGCTATTTGCTAATAGACTAGTACCAGGCTTTTTGTTCACCTTTCCACATAAGGAATTTATGTGGCACTCAGGTGCCCAGAAGAACTAGATTGCTTTTACACACTACCTTCCATTTCAAATCTTGCCACATACAAAACATACACAACATGAGGAGGAGATATGCACACAGACTAGAAGCAAAGGAGAGGAATAAACAAAAATTAATACATGAAACCTTCCATACTTAAGAGTACAATGACTGGAGTGTCAGAATAGAAGGGTACAGGCTCTTTAGGAAGGACAGGTAGGGGAGAAGAGCAAGAGGGGTTGCCCTCTATGTCAAAGACCAGCTAGAGTGCATGGAGATGCACCTGGGGACGGATGAGGTCCCAACTGAGAGCTTATGGGTCAGGATTAAAGGGAGAGCAGGGACAGGGGACATAGTAGTGGGGGTCTGCTACAGACCACCTGACCAGGAGGACTGGGTGGATGAGGCCCTCTACAGACAGATAGGAGCTGTATCACGTCCACGAGCCCTGGTCCTCATGGGGGACTTCAACCACCCTGATATCTGTTGGAAGGACAACACAGCAAGGCACAGGCAATCCAGGAGGTTCCTGGAATGCATGGAAGACAACTTCCTTCTCCAAGTGGCAGAGGAACCAACGAGGAGAGGTGCTTTGCTGGACCTTGTTCTCACCAACAAAGAAGGGCTGGTGGGGAACATGACGCTCAAGGAGAGCCTTGGCTGCAGTGATCATGAAATAGGTGGAATTCAAGATACTTAGGGAAGCAAAGAGGATGCACAGCAGACTCACTACCCTGGCTTTCAAGAGAGCAGACTTTGGCCTCTTCAGGGATCTCCTCGCTAGAGTACAATGGGATGAAGCCCTGAAGGGAAGAGGGGCCCAAGAAAGCTGGTTAATATTCAAGGACCAACTCCTCCAAGCTCAGGAGTGGTGCATCCCAACACAGAGAAAGTCTGACAGGAACACCAGGAGGCCTGCATGGATGAACAAGGAGCTCCTGGACCAACTCGGGCAGAAAAAGAAGGCCCAGGTGGAAGCAAGGACAGGTAGCCTGGGAAGAATACAGAGCGATTGTCCGAGCAACCAGAGATCAGATTAGGAAAGCTAAAGCCCTGATAGAGTTAAATCTGGCCAGGGACATCAAGGGCAACAAGAAAAACTTCTATAGATATGTCAGTGATAAAAAGAGATCTAGGGAAAACATAGGCCCTCTGCAGAAGGAAACGGGGGACCTGGCTACCCGGGATATGGAGAAGGCTGAGGTTCTCAATGATTTCTTTGCCTCAGTCTTCACTGGCAAGAAATCCAGTTGCACAGTCCAAGTCACAGAAGGCAAAGGCAGGGACTGGGAGAACGTATAACCACCCACTGTAGGAGAAGATCAGGTTCGAGACCATCTAAAGAACCTGAAGGTGGACAAGTCCATGGGACCTCATGAGATGCATCCACAGGTCCTGAGGGAACTGGCAGATGAGGTTGCTAAGCCACTATCCATCATATTTCAGAAGTCGCAGCAATCTGGTGAAGTTCCCAATGACTGCAAAAAGGGAAACATAGCCCCCATTATTAAAAAGGGAAAAAAGACCCAGGGAACTACAGGCCAGTCAGTCTCACTTCTGTGCCCGGCAAGATTATAGAGCAGATCCTCCTGGCAACTATGCTAAGGCACATAGAAAACAAGGAGGTGATTGCTGACAGCCGACATAGCTTCACTAAGGGCAAATCCTGCCTGACTAATTCGGTGGTCTTCTATGATGAGGTTACAGC